TTATCTTTTGTTTGTTTAGCATGCTTTTTTGAACAACTATTTGTTAAATCTAGTAGCAAAGTCTATTTCATCATTTGGGAGAGCTTGATGATCAAACTTTTGCGCAATAAGGTGTAAGAATTCAAACAATCAAAAATCATAATGGGACCCTGCTACTTCACAGATTCAAAATATTGTGTTTGCCAATTTCTTTGGAAGTTAGAATATTGACTTGTCTGATACATCCGCGAATGCTTTGGCCAAGGCCCATATTTAGCTGATTTCTTCTCGGTAGTTTTGTATGAAGGCAAGATAGCCATTTGCTTTTGCACTGCATCGCTTTCTTTCAATAGGAAATTGTGAACAATCTTCAAAGGGTTTCCGAGGAGAAAAGTCATCAGATTCAAGCTAATCAAGTTTCTTTGAGTTCTATTTGGATTTAAAACAGATTTCATTCCTAAATAAGAGCCTCCCATCTCTGGAACGAGAGTGTGGTCCGACCTACAAATATCAAAAAAGCATTGAGACAAAACCCCGAACATAACGGTTCATTACACATTATGACAAGTTTCTATATTGGCGAATATCACAAAACAGAAACTACTTTAATCGAAACGTATAGGAGTAACATATTGACCCCCCCTCCGCTTCCCCTATCCCTCCTCCCTTCCAGTCAGTATATTGGACATTTTAGAACATGAACAACCGTGGAAAATCCTTGAAAGTATTACGCTGGTATTTGTAAGAGCAGTTTAGGAATAATCCGATAATTTACAAAAAGAACGAAAGCAATGCGAGACTCATGTCACGTTTGATTTATTCTAAAACAGTTCAGATCTCAAAGGCATCCTGACTTGGCAATTACTCAAATTGGTAGATATCAGAGAAAATATTTAAGTAAATGGAAGTGTATTCGTTTGACACCCATTAATAGCGGCAAAAACCGAATTTCTTTTATTTCGATGCAATTTTTGATGTTGCGCAGTTGTTCGCTCACCCTTATTTCTCTGCAGAATGATACATAAGATATTCGTGGTTTCATCTAGTACCACCGGATACAGGGAAGGTGGTCGAGTAGAGCGATTTTTCCCAGCCGTATTTATATAATGCAAATAACACAATAAAAAACTATCTTCAT